AGTAGCCATTTTTAAACTTTACACATACAATTTATAATTCTACGGTTACTTATGTTATGTGTATGTGGTTTTTTAGGCCTTAAAAATATATTTTAGCATTATTTTGTTTTGTCACAAATCAATAAAGTGTGATATTATGTCATCATTAGAACAATGTAATAAAACTTTGTATTTTTCCATCTACAAATAAGTTATTTTTAAATAATGTTTTTTCAGGTTATTTGGGTGTGCATTCTATGCAGAAAAAAACAAGAGCTCTTGATTAAGACCGGAACATGGATGCATGGAAACTTGGGAAGTCAAGAAGGGAGCTTGGATCAGGGATCAGGAGGGGAATCCACGCCAATCAAATCAGAACTAACTCCCTCGTCCGATAGACGTATGAGGCTAGAGCGAGGTCATAGTTCAGAAAAGGAAAATATCCTTCAACCTACATTAACTCATCCCGGTGGTGGGCAGTCTCTTCCAAGCAGCCGGCGAGGGTCACTACAGCGCACGGGTAGTTCTCAGAGTAGGGATTTAAAACGGCAGTTCTCTCAAGAGACTCGTCCCTCCTCTGAATATACTTATAAAGTGGCGGACAAACCCCCATCAGACAGGGGACGAGGAGGCTCAGACAAAAGTCCCTCACAAGGAGAATCCCGAAAGAGGAGATCAATTCATGAAGATGATTCCAGACACCATCGAGAGGGAAGTGATAGAGGGCGCCACTTGCATAAAGACGGCGCACGTTCGAGAGAGCACTCTCCAGAGCCACCTACAAGACAAGAACGTGAACGTGGAGAACAAGATTTCGAATGTGAAAGAACAAGAGAAAGATCCCGTGAAAGAAAGCGTGAGGTCTCAAGTGAGAGAAAAAGAGAAGAAAGAAAAGGAAGTCGGGAACTGAGAAGGGATGAACTCATAACTCGAGATGATATTCGTTTAAGGGAAATTTCTAGAGATCAGAACGTTGAAAGAGGTCGAGAAGACGATCGAATCCGTGTGCGTGAGCCGTCGGTTGAAAGGTCACGCTCTTACGACGAACGAAGACCTTCACGTGAACGACGCTCGTTCGAAGAGCGAAGGCCTTCGCGTGAAAATGTTAATCAAAATTATGAGCGTGAACCTCAAGAGAGACTTCGTGATCATGAGCATCGTTCTCGGAGAGATACGAGTGGCGTACGACACGTTCACCCTGATGACAAACGTGACTCCTCATACAGACAAAAGCTTCCGAATAGTTCCGAACGGGAACATTATGTTGTGAAGCCTGTGGTGTCCTCTATTGATCTCGAAAGTCGAGCTCGACCTGAATATATAATTAGGAGAAATCATCTGGATCCTAGTTCGGCTTCAGTAGTAACGATTGATTCTAGGGGGCGCTCTAATAATAATAATAATCGACGTAAAATTGAGTCAGTCGTTCGCAATGACTCCTTGAGCTCTGACCAATCAGAATGTGTCAGGCCACCTCCACCTAAACCTCACAAACACAAACGTGGTAAGAAACAACGACAAAGATCTCTTAGCAGCTCTGATGACGAGATTAGGTCGACACCAGAGTACTCTAGTTGTGAAGAACAAGACATAGAAAGTGAGAGTGTCAGTGAAAAGGGTAAAGTTTCTTTTTTGATCAGTCTTCACATATTTGAAATAATGATGTGTGATATCACATTGTAAATGAGAATGGGTCTAAGTACAAACTTCATAATTAATGTTATATTTCCATTCGCGATAATATTGAACAAGTTTTGGCACTAAAGTTTAAGGATTTTTTGTTTTGTTTTTTCAAATTTTGAATAATTAACAGAAATGTTATTTGACGATTTCACTAATTTTAGTATATGTATACATATATCACATTTGTTCTACAACGGACTAGGTCCTTATCTTAGATCTCATGATGCTTCAGGAAAAGAAAAACAATATTTTGAGACATACAAAATATATTGACTCGCTTGCATGTAACACATACACACACACACACACAAAAGTTTCCTGAACATATGATAGACATTCAGTCGCGTGTGATTTCTTTGCTTATAATAACCTAACAAACACCCGACTCATACACACATTACAAGCTTTCTTTTTTCTAATACCCACATATTTCCTAGAGATTAACGCTGGTAGTTTTGTAAACGCATAAATCGCAGACAGGCATATGTGTTCAGATAAAATGGCCCGGCATGGCCAGGTGGTTAGGGCGCTCGACTCGCAATCTGAGAATCGCGGGTTCGAATCCCCGTCACACCAAATATGCTCGCCCTTTCAGCCGTGGGGCGTTATAATGTGACGGTCAATCCCACTATTCGTTGGTAAAAGAGTAGCCCAAGAGTTGGCGGTGGGTGGTGATGACTAGCTGCCTTCCCTCTAGTCTTACACTGCTAAATTAGGGATGGCGTAGCGCAGATAGCCCTCGTGTAGCTTTGCGCGAAATTCAAAACAAACAAACAATCAGATAAAATTCATGATAAATATTAGGGATCAGACCAATATAAAGTTATAAACAATATCTAAAAAACGAAAAAGAACAAAAAAGAAAAGAAAAATTAGAACATCTCAATGAGTAACAAATCTATGACAATATGTCATCGTTTTCATTTCAATCCCGCTATTTTTAAATAAATAATGTATTTTGCTTAACGGCTTGTGACTGCTAATACATTGTAATTACTAAAGAATGTTTTACCAAGTAATAATAATGAAGAATAGCCCTATAAACCTTTATTTTCTGTAAAGTACATAAGTAATGCGAAGTTGCATCCTCTGTTTGCCAACTGCATCAACCGAGCAAAATATTATTTAAAAAAAAATAAAAATAATTAAAATGAAAATTATCCCCCAAGTGGGTCGGCGGTACGTCTGAGGACTGAAATCACTAAAAACCGGTCGACACTCGTGATGGGCACAGCACAGATAGCCCATTATAGAGCTGTAAATGTTGTAGTAGAGTTGTTGCCTTTACATTTATAAATAATATACTTTATTTTTACAAGCATTGCCGTTAAAACACGTAAAGTACTTATAAAACGTTACTAATTTATGAATTTAAATTTCGCCATTAAAAAAAATAAAAAGAATTAGGACGCTTGGGTCCATCGCTATATATAAAAAATAATTATAAATATACTCTAGAAATTAATCTTATACATTTCTTTTGCTTTTAGAATATTTTTATAACATTTTTACCATTCTGAAAACAGAAACATTGTAGAACATTGGAGGTTATCATCCTTTAGAGAAGTTTTGAGTGTTTTCCAGCATAAAGGGAGAATTACTGTAGCACAGGGGTTCTCAACCAGGGGTGTTGGCACCCTCTGGGGGTGCGAAATGAAGAAGCCTATGAAGGTCCGTTTTCATTTTCAATTTTTTGGTCCTCAAATAAAATTGGTTCCCTGATGGTGTTTTATTTCTTCTAATTAAAAAAACCAAAAGTACTTTAGTTTGTTGGGTTTAGGTATTTCATGCCATTTATTAACATGAAAATGGAAACAGTCTTTGGTTTTGATATTTGATGATTAAGGAAGAAATAAATTAATTTGCTTTAAGTGCGTGTGTGCGCACAAATGCACACTTTTTAGGAAAGGGATGCTAATGCTTCGTTAGGGGGGTGCGAGGGCCACAAAAGGTTAGGAACCACTGCTGTAGCATGTGTACTTGCTGTTAGAGTTAAGCGTATCTTAATATCTTTCTATAGGAAAGACCCTGGGAGGTAGAAACTCTTGTCTTGCTTTTCTTGGCTTTTGAATCTAAAACAGACCACTTACCAGCTTGATAAAACTTTCATCAGGCTTTAGCCTTTAAAAACCAATAGTGTAGTAATAGTGGGCGCAGAAACGAACAACAAAACGTAAAGAACGACGTTCCTGAAATGTGTTATGATCTCTTGGGTTGTTGTAACATATTGCAAATCTGAGCTGAAATTAAGCAGCGTGCCATTACTTTTGAAGAAAAAATACCGATTAGTAGAATGTATAAAAATATGTTATTATAGCTGTGAAAATGTTGCCTGTAGAGTTAGTTAAAAACGAAAGCTAAAGGTTTTGGCTTTAGGAGGTCTAGTTTCTTAATTTTCCAGCTTTTAAAACATTTAATAGGTCTTACTTCTCAAACTTCAGTAATACAGAAAATTATACAACTTTAAAAAAAACATCATTTTCACCGCAGTATATTGTTATTCTTTTTATTCATCCCATTTGTATCTTTTCTTGTGTCCCCTCACATAACTTTATACAGTATGTAAAGGCTTTGTGATAAACAAGTTGTATTACAAAAAAAATCCAATCTGCCTTTCAAAAAATTATATAACAATTAACTTAAAAACACAAGATTTGGTCTAGGTAAGTATTTATAATGTAAATTTATATGTAACTTTTAAAGACCTTAATGTCATCTCCATCACCTCACACCTACAGTTGTATCCAGTGGTGAATTGTTGTTTGCCATCATTAAAGCTGTAATTGTTACTGACAAGTCATAACCAGAATGTTTTATTGTTGTTCTGAGAAGATCTGACAGAACTATTTAAGTAAAAAAATAATTCTCTGATAAGTAACTTATTTCTATAATATTTATGGATGTATTTCTTTATTCTTTAATAACTAGGAGAAACAGAAGTACTGAGTCAAACGTGGAAGCGAGAAGAAATACTAGATGCCAAAATAAAAAACTTTTTAGCGGTGAGGCTTTCATAAAGCAGAGTCTAGTTCTTTATCTACCCCCCTTTTTTAGTTTTTTTATTTTCAAGGACTCGCTTCAAATTTATTCAATTTCATGCACTCAGTCTGTTGTTCTAAAATCAACAGAACGTTGATTTGTTGGAGTTTTCACAAATACTTTGTGAGCATGCGTGGATGTCTTGTAACTTTCTACTTAACTTGGCTTCTTATTTAGCTCTTCTGAACATTGTTTCTTTATGTGTTTATGTTTGTGACGAAACAAAGCCGTTATTTGTCATTGTTCTTGCTTTCAGACTTGTGTTTTGGGAAGCAGGAAACTGTTTACAAAATGTAAAAAACACTATAATAATGGGATTTTTGATAAATTAATCTAAAACCAATGAAATGTATGAAACTCCCCGATATTTTCTTCAAAACGTATAGAAAATAAAACCTATTTTTTCTCAAATTTTTATTTTACGAAAGAAAAGATTCGGCAAACGTCACTTCACACACACACACACACTTAACGTGCACAATTTACAAGGAATATAATTTTCTTTTTATTTAATTAATTTTATGACACCACACTTTCTTCACGCTATTATCATTAATAATTATTTAACCAAAATAGTCATCAATCAGGTACTATCTATTACTCCCAAACGTCCATCCTTTAATCTATGACATTTAACAAAGCTTGACGTAAGTAACATACACACACACACACGTTTTTTTGTTTGTTTTTTGATAGAAATATAACATTGTTTCCTTTCCGAATTTAAATCTTTAGAGAACTGTAGGGTCTAGAAAAACCTTATAATTAATTCTCCTACATTAAAGTAAGAGTATTACTCAAGCCTAATTCAAGGCCTCTCGTTCCTCACATATCTCAAATGTACTTATTGTTTTTTTTTTGTGATAAAAAAGAAAAACAGAATACGAAATATAGAATAAAGATAGCTCAGTATGTGCTGGGGGGCTGCATATTAATCTGTATAGCTATTTACATTTCGTATGGGTTTACACTTTATGTTCAAGTAAATTGTACAACTTTTTCTATTACAGTATTTAACTATCCGATACTATTGGGGCTAAGTATCTCGATCATTAAACAGGAAGATTAAGAAATAGATGAAATAAGGAGCTGTAAAATACGCAGATCCCTAACTTACATAATAATAATATACAAATTAATATAAGTTTCTATACCTAGATTTGCCTAGTGACAAGTGAGCATATTTTAGTATGCTCAAGCTACAAGTTCATTAAGACTCGTAAATTTTTAGGAACTTTTATCTTTTTTTTCCTGACCTTTAGGGTTTTAATTTTTTCTGGCTTTCCGGTGCTTACACGTTTCTCTCTCTCTGCAGTTTTCCTTTCTCTCTCTTTCTTCATAGATATTTATCTTACTCCATATCTACAGTTTTATATTTAATCAATCTCTCAAAGTTTAGTCCTCTCTGTTTCTTTCGAACTTTCTATCTGAACTCTGCTTTCACTTGGTTCCATAAATTTCGTTCTTTTTAGACATTACCTTTTCTGTTCTCTTAGATTTTATCCTCTCTTTCTGTCTTACTATTCATACGGTCTCTCTGAATTTCACTTTCTCTGTCTTTCACAAATCACACTTTTTTTTCGAGATTTTATCTGTTTTTCTTTTTAACTTTTTCTCTTTGTTTTCAAAATTCAAAATGTTCCTTTCCCTTCGGATTTTTATCCCCTCCTTCTCTCTCTCTTCGTCTCTCAGAGTTTTAACCTTTGGTTTTGGTTTACCCTTTATCTGTATCCCAAAACTTTAATTTTGTTAGATTTTGTCTATGATCCCTATCTTTCTTTCCTTTTAGGTTCCATTTTTAATTCTCCTAGGGCTTTATCTCCTCTGTGTTTCTACATCTTTGTTCTTTTTTGTCTCTGCAAGTTGTGCTATCGCCGTCTCTCGCCATGCGCACTCTTCTCTATCTTTATTTTCTGACTTTTGTAGTTTTACTGGTATGTAAAATTAATCTGGATATGTCTAAAGTTTCAGTAATGGGTTAAGCATCGGCTCGGTTATAAAAAAAACTTCTGTTTAAAGAAGAGATAATATATATTATATATTTTTAATTCAGACTCTGTGCTTACCACATAAGGACCTGAATCCGAAGAGTTTAGTACGTAGTAAAATATATTAAAGCTTAGATTTTTTTATAGCTGCGGATGTTATGTTTCAAGTATGACATGATTTTGGTAGCATGCGAAACATTATATATATATATATACATGTGTGTGTTTGCATCCTAAAGCATCATAAAGCGTGTATTGTTCTGATTGATAACATCACACCACCAACATAAACCTGTAAATGTACTTCGTCTCATTAAACATTAGACAACTCACGGGAAAGTAAAGCCGGTTAAAACGTGTAGGTCATAGCAACATACAATTCACAAAATATGCAAGTAGACAAATATGATTGATTACAGATGTTTAGATTTTGACCCTCCCAATTTTGTGACAGGGGAGCATGCACACTTCCGTTTCAGATCACACTGTTGTGATCTCAACTCGGCACTAAGGAAGAGCTGTAAACTTCAAAGAGATCCTGAGTGCTACTATGACAGCCAAGATATAAGGAGTCCTTTCGATAGTCGAACCCACAAGAAAACTGTCCGCTTCAATCGAGAGAGCGCCCCCTGCCGCCAACACTCCGACGAATTTTGGGATGAACAACAAACTAAAGACTCTGGGATAGACACAAGTAGCAGCGCTACCCTAAATGAAGAAAACAATCGTAAGGTATAAGTTTTCACTTCGGAATATCCCCCTTAGTTTCCACACAGTAAACCCTTCTAGTTAGTTTGTCAACCTTTCAGTGAGTTAATTAATGTATTTTTAAATTATATTTGAAGATACAGTGGAGTAGAATAGCTATAACATACACACAAAAAAAAACAACAATAAATACGACGACTACCATACTTGACCATCGTGGTTTAAATAAGTTTGACAGTTAAAAATAAGCAATGTCTGTAATAGGGGAACCTTTTTTTATCGTACTATTAAGATACGTATTACATTGACTTTTTAGTGTATATATTACAGATACCTTAGAAAAGAACGAAAAACAAAGAAAACAATTGAGCAGAGTTCTTTCTGCGAAGTTACAAGCTTATTTTTGCACTTAACGTTTCGTGTTGCATCATTCTCTACATTCTACATTACTAATGCAATTTCTCTTCTAAGGGTAATCGAATGCTGCTACCACAGTTTACTAAGCCTGAAAATTTTAATAATTGTTTTTCTTTCTTTCGTTTTGCAATAGAAGTTGGTTAAAACGGTTTCAAAGAGAACTGAATGGGCTACGTTTCGGCCATATTACTTTCATAGTAGACTGAGTGAAGATTTTTTGTCGATACATTGACGAACTTTACTCTGTCACATAATTTTTTATCAATGTTTTTTGTTTTTTATGTTAGTGCTGCCATCTTTATACATACTTACTTCCATTACCTAACAGTAAGGAAACCAAATGGATGTTTAAGTTTTGTTTTGGCATCAATGAAAAAGTTTCAATATATGCTTAACGATGTATGCAACTAATCAGTACAAATATATTTAGTGCAATTTTTAATAGCTATTTCCACTACTCGTTTTTTCGCAAAGAAAATTCAAATGAGGTTATGGCGTTTTGGACTAAAATTCTTAAAGTTTCTCTTCATTAATTAATAAATATTACCACTTGAATAATAGTATAGAAAACAAACCAACGTACTTGAGTGAGGTTTTTTTTATTACCCACATTATCAACCCAGATTATTATTGTTAAAATAGGCTAAATAAATTTCTAGTTGTGTTTGAATAAAATAAAATCTCACCTTGAATACATTCACATCGCAACTGAATTTACTAGCGTTAACAATATTCGATTGTAGGCCCCTCAGTGGCACAGCCGTATATCTGCGGACTTACATCGCTAGAAACTGGGCTTTAATGTCTGTGGTGGGCAGAGCACAGATAGCCCATTCTGTAGCTTTTTGCTGAACTATAAACAAACAAAATCTACTGTAGGCCTACATTAGGCAGTTACAATCAGTAATTACTTGATGTAGACCTATGACTAAAATGATGCCAATAAATCCAGTTTTTTGTTCGAGAGTTGAAAGCATAAAACTCGTGGTGTTTAGGCACTATCAAGGTGTATAAGATGCGATTTAAACCAGTGCCTATAGCCAAGTCTCATAATATACTTCACAGCAATCAATTTCTGTCAAGTTTAATAGCATATACAATCACCTAAGTTCAAGTACTTATGATCTGTTAATTTTAATAATAATACAAAAATAATAACTTCCACAACCATGGGCATCCGCAGAATTTATTCCTGGTGGGCAGGAGCGTCGAAAGCCAGCACGTGACAAACGTTCTCGCCTGGCCCACTTTCTCTCTCTTTTTTTAACATTTTAAAGAATTTATTAAAAAGATCCTAAATTAGGACAGCAACGAGCTTATAAGGAAGGCAAAATCATATCAGCAGCCGTCTTTAGCTCAATGTATAAGCGTAAAAACGTGCTTTACGGGATAATCCTATTTCATTCACCAGGGCTCCTGGGCAGTTGCCCCCTTCCTATCGGCGGGCCTGCTGGCTGGGGCAAGCTCACAACTTGCGAACAATGTATCCAGCGTAGGCCATTGCCTTGAAGTTTGAATGGAAGCTTTGGCCGATTACGGCTTATTTATGCATACCTAAATTCGTCATTTATATTTAAATAGTATTATTTTATAATACATTTTTTAACACCTACCACACCAGCCAGCCAAGTATATTTTCAGTATTAAGCTTATGATGGTCAACATGGGGCGGTCATTCCGGAAACCAGTGATTTAGGGTTACTTCGATAGATCTCGATGAATGAAGCTCGGTACAACTTCCAAAACGAAAAAAAAAAAGAATAAAAAAAACCACACTAAATATTAATAAAAATATGACATGATGAAATCTATATGGATTATACTATGGTTGTACCATACTGGTCATTATACCATCCTTCTTATATTTACTCTTCATTGCAGAAATGACATTTATAATTTGAGAATTGCTAAGGAAATCATCTTGTAATGCGTCGTGCATCTGATTCAACTTCAACACTGCATCTTTGTGCTTTACTGTGGCGTTAGTTTCACAAAATATTAAAACTAATGATTTCTTATGTATGATTTCAACCCCCCTTTTTGAAGATAACGATACTATTGTGCTCGTTGTTTTATGTTTCGCTTTCAATGCAGTAATCAATTACCGAATATCTGATTCAGTTGGTATGTCAAATCGATTAGGATATCCTCGAATAAGGTCTTCCTACATCCGACCTGGACCCACGGTTTAGCTTAAACATTACACATAAACAATCACATTCACAACCACATCTAGAACATTTCAAGTATGCTTCATTGCTGTATCGATTTACTTTATATTTACAAGTTAACTTTTCCGTTTTGTCTCTCATGGTCTCGAATCTGGTCCAGCGACCTACACCTAGAAAATAGTGTCAAATGTATTCCTTTTGTATAATCAAAACAACCCAAACCTTTCCTGAATGACCCATTTTGGGGGATCCACATGAAGATGCCGGGCTGGCTCGTGTGGCAGGTATTAAATGAATTATTCAAGCAAATTTTCTTCTGAAATTCCAAATGAGGCAAGTGCCCCCTTGGCTTCCTATGGAAATGACTGCAACGCATTGATTCAAAGCGCTGTCGAAATTTTATTCTGCATTAAGTGATTGAAAAATGTGTTATGATTGAATTCAAATTTGAGATTGATAGTAATAAAGTTTAGAGACGGCTTGAATGAGTAAAGAAGAAACTTTGTTGCAAGCTTAAAACAGACACAAATGTACATTGTTTCGACAAGGTTTGTCAGTATCTCATGATAACAAAACCTTATCAAAACGTTGCACATTTGTTACTGTGTTAAACTTCCAATAAAGTTTTATTCGTTTCCTATTCAAGCCATCTTTAAATCTTATGCTATGATTGGTGTGTTTGGCTATACGTTGGATCAATGCCTTATGGCACAGATGGTTTATCAGAGACGCCACGACCTTACCGTAAGTAATACATACCAATTATTGTTTGGAGGATATTATAACATACGTATATGTTTTATACAATAAATTTTCTATTTTAAATAATTTCGTAAGATAAGTTTAAAATGACAAAAATATACTTACAACTGTAGATGTCATACGTACAATTGGTTTTAACGTTTCCTTGTATTAAAGTGTAGATAACGTTTCAGAGACCATTAGTATTAACTAAGGCTAAGACTCGATAAAAATAGTGTTACAACTTACATGCTAGTTGAACTTAATCCTACACACAGGTCTTTCAAAGATTCATGGTTAATTATAGGTTGTTTTTCGTTTTTCGTCCTAGCAATACCTAAATTATGAGAGGAAAAAATCTGTATAAATTAGATTATTGTCGAAATCAAATTTTTTAACTTGTGTGATTAAAGGGCATTGTCTTATTATCTGAATGCTATCGCTCTAAATGTTGCAAAATATCGCGAGAAAAACAAGCGGCTCTGTCGCACAAAAAAGCAGCACTGACTTTCAAACTGCTCTTTATGGCTTACCCTCAAATAGGCGATTTGCGCAGCTTAAATTGTTTATAGAATGTGTCAAGTAGGCGGGCCAAAAAATTCACGACTGTGGGTGTGTTTTTACGTGAACAACAGGAGTGGGGATAGGATTATTCTAAGATCGTAATAATATGGGCTATTTATTGACCCAGTCAATCACCGAAAGCACCCCTACAACTATTTTACTGTATTGAAATAAGGTACTACAAAAACAAAAACCGACTTCAGAATAAAACAAGCCCAATTCCGTTTGGACTTGGCAACAGTGCTCGCTGTCATGTGAAAAATGTTAAAAAAGTTGATTTAGTAACTGGGGCTTTTGTTTTCAAACTTAAAGAGAGTAGATTTAGTAAATGTTTGTTTTGTTAAAATGAAGTTTTAAGAAGCGGTCGCTTGAAATTATCAAATCACATTAGCTGAAAAGGGAATTTTTACGAAAATAAATTTCTAATATATGGCACGAAAATGAATTAAGTTTTGTTGATCAAGGAAGTATGTTTTTTTGCCGTTTTTTACTAAAAGCAGGTGATAGATATTTTTTAGATTAAGGACAGTTCTTGTTCAAGGAACAATAATAGATGCAATAATGAGAGTACAACAAATAAATGTTTATTTCATACATGTTTTAGAAATTAAAACTCTATAACCCTGATGAAAGCCATCACACATAAACAATATCAGCTTTAAGCCTACATCAGGAGATAATTCACTTATTAGCGTTATACTAATTTATATATTTATATTAAGGCTCTAAGGATAATAAAGATTTTACTACATAAATTAGGTCTGTTAGCACCCTCAGAGAAGCATTGCTTTGTGTGAATAATATATAAATATTTCGTTTCTCATCAACTTTACAGTAATGTTAGTTTAAGAACATAACAGAAATAAGATTTTTTTCATTTGACCCCTGAGCAAAAAGCGTGTAGTTAATGTACTAAGGTTTTATGTTTAAACTTAATTACTAGGACAATAGTTATCCCTGACTAATTGCAATTTTATTAACTTGGAAAGTTAAATAATACAGATTCTCGTTCAGAATCAGCTTTTGAGAATGCAAGGAAAGCAGTCATTTACTCAAAAGTGATATAGTTTTAATACCCTTGTGGAAATATTTCTATATATCTTTGTAACATATCCAAGTTTTACATTCAGCACAATTAAGTAAGTGCTCTTACTTCATAGGTAAGAACACAACATACAACTTAGACTCATAGAAGACACATTGTCTAGAGGTATTTAAAAATTTAATAATACTCACACTGAACAGTCTTCCACACTGATTTAGTAATATATTTTTGACCTCAAACCAGAAACAGTTAAGCTGTTAGAATAAGTTGATTTCAAAACAGTTTTTTAATTTTGCAAGGTTAAAATTTGTTTTCGAATATTCGAATATATATCTCTTAATCCTGAGATATATTTATTCTACAAGTAACTTTTTTAATTAAAATAATTAGCTGAAGAGAATATAAAATCCACATTGACTACAGCAATATCAAGTTGTCATTGAATAGCATGTCTAGCATGTTTATGCCACTGCTTTGTTGCATGTTAATTTCATTGTTGTTTCTTTCTGCACGAGCTACACGTGATCCAGTGCATCACGTACTTTCTGCACGACGTGTAAAAATTCGTCCTTTACCAGCATGTTTAACTTTACCTATTAACGTGAAGTTTTCATTTTCTCGAACAAACTATCGTAACATCTCTTTGTTGAGTCTTTGTTTTATAATGAGCTTACAGATGTGAAGAAAATTCGAACAACCTCTAAAACATTGAGATTAGTTTTCTTGCTAAGTAGGAAAAAAAAGTTGTACATCTAGTTTTCGTAAAATGTGTTTTCAGAAATTTAAATGTATTATTGTCATAATTATGTGTGCGTATGTTTGTGTGTTTATGTTGATAATACTTTATTTATGAAAGAATATATTTTATTCAAATGTAAGAATGAAAACTAACACTTGTAAGTAAACTGGATTTAATCTTCTTTTTTTTTAGTTTATCGTAAGTTGACTTGTTAAAACAATTTCATAATCTTTTTTAGCTTTAAGCTGTAATATAATATTAAATTAATTCTATATTGCAATTGCATACCAGGAATCATAAGTCCGAAAACAACTAATAAAGCAAAGAAAAATTCATTGGTTATTAAAAAGAGTCTCTTTGAGTTCTGGAACTTATGCATATGATTTTTAAAGTTAAGAGAAATATTTCTTATGGAAAAGGCAAAATTAAAAGATCTTTATAAACTTTATACAAAAAAAAAATAATTACAGTTTTCAGTAGGCTTAAAAATTTCATTTCTAAAATAATAATTACCTAAAGTGCTTTAAAAGTAATTACTTTTATTATTAACTTAGCATCCTGTATCCTGGCAACCGTCTACTGACGGGACAAAAATGATAGGACATATGATTTTGAAGAAGACTTTGAAAGAGGGAGCTGGTAGCGTCTCAAGTGCATCCATCCTTGGCCTAAAAGTGGTGGGAGGAAAATTCTTTGAGTCTGGACGTATTGGTGCTATGATAGAAAAGGTGAAAAGAGGCAGCATAGCGGATACTGTTGGTCATCTGCGGCCAGGTGTGTTCATATCAGAAATTTTTTTGAGTTTGAACGACCTGATGATTATATTCAAAAGAGAGTCTCAGAAGTCAAACTATACTTGGAACTTCAATTTCAACATGAGGATAGTGACTGTCCGTCATCCGGCCCTCGATTGGCTCATAACATATATATCGGAAACGTCATGAGTAACTATAACTAAGCACTTTTTGTTGAAAGTAAAGAAAAAAATTGTAATAGTACGTAAACCACATTACATCTGCCATATCTAGTGCCGATGAACCCTTCATCTAATCCCAGCGCTCATCAAGCCAATTGAGATATAACGGACACAAAACAGTAGTGGTTGAGACGCTATCTTTTTATCAATCAGCATGAACAACAACTATTATGGTGTGAAGTAGATTAAATTTACTGAAGTGTAATTTATATCAACATTTATTTAACTCAGTTACAAATCAGAATTAGGTTAAGGATTAGTAACATATTATTATTTATTTATTTTAACATCAGTTATTCATTATTATATATTTATTTTTTATTTTGTTTATTTTGGCTATGGTATTTTGCGGGTAAAATTGAGTGAGCGCTCTGGTACTCTCTCCAAAACAATCACCATTGTATAGAATTTGGTAAAGTATGTTATAAAAAACAACGTATGAAGCATCAACTTATTAAATGAAAGAGAGCTTAAATTTCTGATATTGAAACTGGTGTTCAAGAATTACGTCCCCTACCAGGCAAAAAAATAAAGTAAGTGAAACAGCAGTTATATTTTGCATGAAAACATAATTTTAACTTTCAGAAGTCCCCCGTTGGGACAGCGATAAGTCTGCGGACTTGCAATGCTAAAATCCGGGGTTCGATTCCCCGCGATGGACACAGCAGATAGCCCAATGTAGCTTTGTTGTATAACAAAGCACAAGCTTTCAGAAGCTAAACGCGACTTCCCGCGCATACGGACTGTTACTTGTACATCACTCATGAACGTAATATTATTTTGAACCAATCAGAGGTCGAATAACGGATAGGTCCTATGTATTTGTGAAACTTCAGACTAATATCGGTATATGATTGTCAATGTCAGTGAAGAGAAGTTATTTATAAATGTTCATATTAACTAGTATTGGTTACCTTATTATTACTTTTATTGGCCTTGTGTAAGTTCCAACTAAGGTATTCTGTTAATTGTTGAGTTTAAAGTGGAAAGATGTAGTCTTAGGCCAAAAGTATACTGTAACTATAGATTAAAAGTGTATGTTTTAAACTGTAGACTATGGTTACTTGAATCAAAGTTAGACCTAAATTAGAATTAAACTGAACTAAATGACACATTTAAGCAGTAGGAAAACAAAAATATGAAACAGAAGGAAACAATTAATTGATAGTTAAGTATAGTTTATAGTGGCATTATTGAAGTCGACAACTTTAGAATTATTTGTTTGTATTATGTAAATTATTTCATTGCATTGTCAGATGTATATGTTTGTACATGTCTAAACGTAGGGTGATATGCTTAGAGATGATGTCTCAGCTACTACCATAATACCCCAGACATACGCTGACTATAACAGTATAAACGGGTATGATATGTTGCCACCTTGTTGTAATATACGTGACGAGTCAAAGAGTTAGACATGTGAAAAACGTTTTGAAGTTCTTGGCGAGAAATATTATGCAAGACTCGTGGATATGTTTGCAAATATGCGGTATTCTCAGTTGAAACTTATTTCCTCATGAGTTTTAAATAGGTCCACCTTATAATAGGAGTATTTATCAGAAAAATTATGAAATAAATCTGGATCTAGCTAAACGATTTAGTTTTAAACTAAAAAATAAACAGACTGGACACGTGACGTAAAGTGTAAAACAATGTTTATTATTTCATCAAAGCACAAAACAGAGTGTGTGACTTTTGTAGTCAGTGAACTGTTGCTTCCTACCGGATCTGAGAGTCAATCAACAGTTGTCGTCTCCCAAGATGTTTTTCTCTCGATTGACTCATGTTAAAACCCAAGTAAAACTTTGTGAACTTAACACTCTATTCTAAACAAGAAGCATTGGATTTACCCATAACGACTAGTACTAATCACGTGACTGGTTGTTATCTTACGACATAGACTATGTGAGGACTGTAATCAAAGTCATATTCTTGCAAGGTTGTTATTGAATGAGCTATCACTCCATCCAGATTTTCAAAGTTAATTAGCCACTTCAATAAAGCATAGCCTACCTTAATGGTGAACCTCCTACCATAAAAATAGTGGTGATAGTGGAAGATAGTAGAAGACCATAAGCAGTTTTTTCTTCATTGTGCAGTATCTGCATCTGGAAGCAGTGAGTGTATCACTAGCATACACATCCTATTCCATCCTGAACTGTAATAACACAACCCCAATTCTGTGGTTGCTGCTGTCAGTGTCTAACAGGGATTTGCTTGTTTTACTGTGGATAGGCTGACACTGGAACATCCACTAAAGGATGTTTGGTTTTATTTCTTTCTCCATCCAGAGTACATCTCAACATCCATTGCATTTAAGCACTGGTAACGTCCCTAGTGCTCCAAGGAAGTCAGTGCAGCAGTTGCTTTATAAGATGTGTATAATCTATATTTGTGTTGTGACGAGTCACTGTTATATGACCCAATTGGCCATCTGGTCCCATATATACATTACCTTATTCAAACAACAAGTCACTGAGTTGCTTTCCCTACTGGGCATAGATTGTTTGCACAATCCTCAACCAATGAATCCAGATTTATTGGTAGCCACATACTTACTTTTGACCATGGTGTGAAGGACACAACCCTGGTATTACAACTAGCATTTGTTATTTCCACTTTGCTTATTGTATCTATAACTATTCCAGCATACAGATAATTGTCTGAGCTGATGATGCTTGCTTTCTGTATAGGAAACAGTTTATTTCTTGCATCGCTTCTATAACCACGTTAAACAGTACTGATGCATGAAACACCACTTGTGTATACAGAAATACTGACATTCCCTTCTGCTACATACACTCATGCAATCCACTGTTCCTGGTTTTGATCTGGCCAGCATCAGATAATTTTCCCATAGAACATCAGTTCACCCATTGCATAGGCAAAACTAAGAAATTATTTCTATAATATGTCTATCCCAATGATATCAGTACCAAATCTGAGGTCCGAGACAACTACCTTAATTCTGTGAGTAACATTTCCTAGACAGAACTGGAAATCTACCTCCCCTCTTTTGTCTATTCTATCACCATTCACCAGAATGCAGTCATTATGGATTGACTGGAGTGGTAGTCTCACTTATTCTGGCTGCTCCATTGTCAACCAGTAACTCAACCTTTTGCCCTTGTACCCTCACAGATACATACCAAACCCCACCCAGACCTGAGACAGCTGGGCTGACCACTTAATTCTTTGGTGCAAGTAATCTGATGTGCAGTGGGCAGACCCAATCTGGGATCTTTAAATTTTCTGCAGCAATTGTGACAGCATCCACCATTTGTTGTTGGTTGTCCTGAACCTGCTGAGCCATTGGACAGTATCAGTAACCTTGCCTGTCTTTCTGCTTGGCAAAGTATGGGTGCTGTTAGTTGGCTGGCATCTACTGAACCATTGGCTGAAATCAGTAGTCCTGCTGTCTTTGCCATTTGGCAGAAGTACAAGCAGGTCACATGTCAGATCTCAACAGACCACAAGCAAAGCAAATGCTTTGCTCCTTCCATCCTGGGTAATGTCCAGGTGGAGGTATAAGTATAGACTATGACATGTATCCCATGGTCATGCTTGGATATCCCTGCCCATTCACTGAAAACCAATGTGGTTGCATTGCAGTGCCAAGATGTGTGGATAGCTGGTTCACCCTCAATATGGCTTTAGCTCAACATAGTGGGGGTACCTGGGTAGGTCAGTCCATCTGAGATGTAGCCACTGCAGCTATCACTGCATGCTTTTTTCTCTCTAATATCTGTTCTTAAAATTGTGATGCAAATTGCTTCTGCCAAGTTGAGGTTCTCCCTCACATTTAGGTGGTACCTCTTGGCTTTGAGAATGTCCTCTTGATCTGCTTTTGCCATATTAAGGTAGGCCTTATCATGCAATTGGTTCAGAACATCCACATAAGCAGTCAGACCCTACCCCCATTGCCACCTCTTCCAATCCTTAAACACAGCATGCTTTTTTCTCTCTAATATATGTTCTTAAAGTTGTGATGCAAACTGCTTCTGTCAAGTTGAGATTCTCCCTCACATTTAGGTGGTACCTCTTGGCTTTGAGAATGTCCTCTTGATCTGCTTTTGCCATATTAAGGTAGGCCTTATCATGCAATTGGTTCAGAACATCCACATAAGCAGTCAGACCCTACCCCTAGTGCCACCTCTTCCAATCCTTAAACACAGCTCAGTGGAACACCCGATTCTCTACAGTTTCAATTGAGGTTGCAACTTGGCTACAACTGTATCCTAATCCTCCTGTTGCATCTCTTCCACATGCTCAATGGTACCCAGGGCTGGAATGTACAGGCTCAGGATGAAACATTAGAATGCCTGCTCCAGAGTGCAGCCATACTAGCCAGTTACTCACCCAATCTTTCAAACACCAGCTCAGATCTTTTTTTGCTGCTCTTTTAAACATTGGAGTGAAAGATGTTTTGCCTTACCCATAGGAACCTGTGATGGGGACAAAAGCCTCTTTCTTGCTGGTTCATGGCTAATGTGTGGCTGATATGCTACTGATGTTGCAGATGCATGGTGACAGACATTCTCAGGGGTTTTGACACCTGGGTGAATAATTAATACAGGATGGCAAGGTGATGAGTTGCTCACAGCAACTCCTCATGCAGTCCTGCATGTCCCCAAATTTTATCACAAGCCATGGTTGTCTTGGCAGGATACTTTCTGGCTTGATGAGGTTCACTGCCTGCTTTAAGCCTTCTCCTGGACATAGAACTTCTGCTGATGCTGCAAAGGTCCCTGACATCAATTGGTGTACAACTGCAGACTCAAAATGATTAGATAATTTT